AACGAAAATTACTTCAAATATAATATATATTACTTATAATACATTACTTCTTGCCATCAATTTTGACAGCACGTGTACACATGTTCTTTACAAGTAAGAGATTTTTCAAAATTAAAATCAGCAAATGCGGTTTAATATAAATATATCCTGATTGAAAGACTGAAAATAACTTATTTTACGATATCAATAGATATATGGTTTACTTCTTTACGTTAAAGCGGTAATGTCTTCCATCAAATATTCTTTGAATATAAAATTAATAATTAATACTAAAAACGGTAAAAAGAAATTTTATTCTTTCACTGGACTTTCATAGTTAAAACAGTGAATGCACATTGAAATACGAGTTAAAAGCATGTGTCGTCGTTTTCAAGATAATAATTGTATTTTTTAATACATACTTGGCACTTCCTCGCATTTATTTCAAAATACGTAATGACAGTGTGCAACTATTTATTTATTTATCATCAAGTTAAAAAGAGTGCCCAAAAATTCAAATGCTTTTCTTTTATCTAACAGCTAAATAATGTACCATGATTATTATTAGTAGTAGTATTATTATTAGTATTTCTTTTTGATTTCTGTCGTATACACATTTCCTTCCTGGTCCCAACTAAAGAACTAATATCAGAAATGGCTTCAGGACATTTGCTACTGAGCAATTTTTGGAAAAATGGAAAACTCTAAGATTACACACATTTTACGTAGATAAAGCTCCCCGCAATATGAGAGCACATTTTTTGTATGTCTTTAAGGCTTCGGCTAACATGGATCTCTTCAGTGAGTCTATTGGAAACTTTCTCAATCAATCCGAGGTCTGCAACTAAAACTTGATGTCCACATGTGTCACATTTTTGAGATTCCAATTTCAAGGCACTTGTATTTTTTTTAGATTTTGAAGATCTTCAAAGATACATTGAACTCTGGAGTCATTGTCATGTAGATAAAAAAGGGACATCCTCTTTTTAAGGTATCTGATCTTAATGTCTGGACGATTAGCTTTAATTTTTCTGTCTGTGTGCATTGTAAAGTCTCATAAAATTGTTACAGGCCCTATCTCTGTAACAGGGTCTGGATGGTGTTCACACCAATTTCTTACAGTTCTCTTTCCGTAAATGTCTCAGATTGTTCAATGCCGATATTGACCCACTCTTTCATGCCACGTTTTATATTCAGCTAGTTCCAGTACCGTGCAACCAGATACAAGATAACCTATTGTTTGTGGATATTTATAACAGAATGTGCATTTTGGTAAATTTGTAGTATGCATGCTTCGTAATTTCTAGTTAGTACGCATTGGTCCTTTGCAGCAAGGACAAAACCTTAGATTTCAGCTTTTTCTCCTGCACTACGTAACCACTTATGATTATGAGGTTTGACAACATCAGCCTGTTTGGTACAGGCAGAGTATTGACCATAAAGAGACTTGTCTTGCCATCAGTTCTCTAGCTAGTTCATAGCATTTGATTTTACTTTCTTTTTTTAAACTCTTTTCCGCTGCAGTAGTTGTATTATATTCTACATGCAATTCTTCATCCACTGAGCTTCTTTTATTTACTGAATAAGATTTCTTTCATGTTTTTGACACTGATTATCATCCAGTCTTCTGTAGTTTCCAGGTATCTTTGAAGACCACTTGTTGTAGTTTTGTAAGACATTTCTAATTGAACTCTACCTCCTTCGGTTCTGGACATTGTCAGGGGATCAACATCAACATTTAGATGAGGCATGCGATGGCAAGCGAGAAGCTTTATATCATCTATGGTCCAGTTAAGGATGTTGAAACTGTATTGTTCCGCCAAGGGTTATGACTGTTTTGCGAATTAAACTCAGAATTTACCGCCAGATGCAAACGTCTGTTTTACTATTTTCTTACTTTCTCCTTCATTTGGTTATGGTATATTCGATCTCATTCGGATTCCTAGTTATCTATAAGTTCCCTCATACTCTTGAACTCATTGTCCCCCTTGTGCGAGAGTTTGAGATCATCCATTGAGAGTTGGTGATTAAATGCTTTCTTGCTCGCTTTGTATCCATCGCTAATACATCTTAGTTCATAGGAAAGGGGGTTAAGGACAGCAAAAACTGAATGGGCGACAGTCTGCTTGAAAGATTCCTCGTCGGATATTCAAACGATTTGAATTGACCGGTCCATATTATATTTAAGGAAATTTACTATCAACGAGGAGACATTGTAAATTATTTTCAAAGGTTTAGTGATCGATTATTATTATTATTATTATTATTATTATTATTATTATTATTATTATTTCCTTTGGCTTCTGGTGTAAAAGCATTTCTTTCCGGGTCCCGACCAGAGATCTAAGTTCAGAAATTGTATCATGGCATTTTCCTCTGGACAGTTTTGAAAAAAAAAAGACGCACGATTTACGATTCACTTCTAGTTGTTGACTACTTCTAATCGCCGCTTGCGAATGTTATATGTGTTGTTCTTGTCCTAACTATTATCGTTCATTACCAACCTTCGTTTGATTATTCTATTCATTATCCTTCCCTAGGTTACAACAAATTAAATAGCAAAATTAGCCTTCCAAAAAGCTTAGCAAAGTATTATGAAAGAAGAAAATTTAATTAAAAACTAAAAAAATAGTGATCAACCTCTATGTAATATCAGTCCTCTTATATTGCAAGTATGTATAGTCATCTCTTCATAGAGAAGACGTGAGGTAGCAGAGATTGCATTTTCGATAAAAATGCTGATATTTCTATGGATGTATCACGTAATCAACGAGAAAGTTTTATACAAAAAACAAAACAAATGATAGTTAAATATAGCACTAGAAAGTGACAATCGAAATTTCTAGGAAACATGATGAGGAAAGTAGGTTTGGAGATTTTGCGACTCACATATTATATTCAAGGTAACCTAACCAATGCGCTTGCGTGAAAGGATGGGAAAACTGAGAGGACAGACACATTAAAAAGGAAAAAAAAAAAAACATGCCCAGCGCAACTAACAATAAGTAGATGTGGAGAGCGATGATTGCTCAAGTTTACTGCGAGCCATATTATAACTTAAAAATAGAAAAAAATAATTTGAATTTTATTGAGCGATGAAAACAGAATATTTCTAATAGCTTTAAATCTGAACAAAGATCAAGGAATTAAAAACAAATGTAACGAAAGAGAGAATTTATCACGGTAAGAAGCAAAAAAAGAAAACGAGGCTTTTAAAATACTACAAAAGAGATCAGAGGGAACTTAAAAAGCTGATAATCAAGTGAAGAAAATTGGCCAGGGTTAAAATAACTGGAGTTGATTTTACGAATGTAAACAGAGAGAAAAGACACGTAAGCCAGCAAACTATCACCTATAATTAAAGTCCACAAATAGAAAAATTATATTTGGGTAAAGAAATCAAGAAAACTGATTCCTCAAAGGTAATATTTAGGGATAAATATAATTTTATAGTAGATGAACCTGATAATTGGAGGATCGTGGCTACATATTAATTAACATCTTAAAAGATAAGTTAGAAGCTAGAAAGAGTTAGAAAACAGTCCCTGTGGTATGAAGTTAAAAAAACAAACTGGACAAGAAAAACAGTTTAGAGTTAAACGTCTGAAAGAATCAGTGCATATGCTAGGCTATGAGGGATCCCCTTAATAGGCCTAGCAGAGGAACAATTACAATATGGGAGCCGTTAAAGGAAGAAAGACATGCAGCAGCAGCATGATCAATCAAAACATGGCTGTCAGATGCAGAAGCATTAATCAGTAGGAATGGTAGGTATAAGACACCTACATTAAGCGTCGGGAAAGTATGTTAATATCTAGAAATTGATTTTAACAGAGGTCGGAAAATTCTATACCGAAATCCGTAAGGGGACTGGGATAGAGGAAAATGAATAGAAAAGGGCATGGAAGTCGTTAGAGATTTTTAAAAGATTATTTAGAAAATTAAAGTAAGAAATACATTGCTTAATAAGTATGTCTCCAGTCAGATAGGGCTCAGAACTATGCAGCCCGACTGGCCACTTATAATTAGATTTCATTCTTTTTTTAACTTACTTTTTTTTTTCTTTCTTTCTTTCTTCTTTATTAAAAACATTATCAACGAAATGCATTTCGCTCAAGATTATGGGACAGAGAGTTAAATCAATTAATTTACGATCCAGCTGAAGTCAAGAATGAAAACGACGCACGACGAAAGGTTACTTTGAAGTTAACATTTAGAAAATCTACTTCGTTTAGCTTAGTTTTTTTTTTTTTATCTATGTTGAATCCATTAGTTTTGAAAATATTTTTTGTTGCTTTTCTAGTTTTGTCTGTGTTTTGTTTGTTACAGTTTCTTAAGATTAAGAGACCGTCGTCCCTGTAGAGTCCTGTGTCATTTCTCTCTATTTTTTTGCTTAGTTCGTGTAGAAAGTAAATACCTATCGCGCCGCAGCTCATGACGTCACACATAACCATATCGAGAGTGAATTCGAGAAATATTAAGCATGGAAAGCCGTTAATATAAACCAATGGCTTCTGTTACCAATCATAGACATTTAAGAATATTTGTGGAGATTTCTTAGTTTATTTTGTTCAGTTTTGGAAAAAAAAACCAACAGAGTTTACAAATTCAAGTGCCCTTTGGGAGATTGTATCTCCAACGAATTAAATAATATTTATGTTGGTCACACCAGAAACTCGCTTTCACTGCGCTTGACACTATATTTAAATGAAAACTCTAACAATTTTAGGCATTTAAAACAACATGCCTAGCCGCGTACACAATTCTGTAAAATCCTTGTCGAAAACACAATTATACTTAAACATGAAAACAATAAATAAAAAACTAAAAATTCTTGATGCTATATACATAAAACAGTTGAAACGTAAACTTTACTACTTAATCTATAGCTAAATAGACAATGGGATTTCCCAAGGAAATTTGCGTGTAAGTGAATATAACAAACCCAACGGGACTTGGAACTCAGCTCTCTGATTAACAATTGCGATCGATTTTTCTATTACAGCATCAGCGAATTAAAGCCTACAACACCTGGTATCCACAAACGGTCACCCATCGAGCTACTGCCCAAGCTCGACGTTGCTTAACTTCGGTGATCGTACGGGAACTGTTTTTTAAACGTGATTTGGTCGTAAGCATAAAGAGGTTAAAATATACTCTAAGAAATCTACCCTACGAAGATATGCCTGCCATTATTATGGCTGTTACGTAGAGCAACAGCATAAAAGTACTATTTAGTATAATAATAATAATAATAATGAAAACCTGCATTTATCTTTTATGCTAGTAGTAGTCATATGAGTATGAGTTTCAATTGGCAACTCGGTGTACTTAAGAGAAAGTAATATTTGTTGAGAAAAGTTATCAAAATTCTTGCATTTTAACTTTATTCTAATGATCTTTGAACCATCCGTAAAAAGAATGATAGAAAATTCCTTATATATAAAAAAAATATTTGTGCCTTCTGAATAGAAGAGATATTTTTTTAGTCTTTGAAAAGTTTTATTCATCGTCAGAGCAACATTCAATTTTTCTTCTTCATGCAATATATTTCTTCATTAATGTTAAAGTAGACTGAAATGTCAGATGGTATTTTTCAGTAAACTTATTGTTTCTTATATATTTTTAACGATATCAAGCCAAAGAAAATGAAACTTCTTTTTCTAAAAGACAATGATGAAAATTGAAATTACAAATGCAACTTCTTCATGTTCATTGTTTCTTTAGTACGTCAGCGATCAAGATTCGCCATAACACCCTGTTCTTTGTAGATCTAACCGATATTTCTCTATTTAATTCTTTTTTTGCCTGGGATATACAAAAGCTTGTTAAACAGGTTACTGAGTGTTTCAATCTTTTCCTCTTGCCTTCTAATAGTCCTGTGAATATCAAATTCTCCAAGTTTTCTTTCCTCATTCCTGCTATTTAAATTCTCTCTTTCTGAGTAAAAGTATATAAGTTTCCTTTTGGTCATCATTTTCTTTAAAACTTCCTCACTGCACACATTCTCCGACCATAGCATTAACAGAATCTTTATTCAGAAACTCATCACATCGGAGAAGATTAAGAAGTAATTCACACCATATTTTTTCTCGATTTTACAAGTATATGTTTTAGAAATTTAAATAACTCGATACATTATAATTAATTGGCCCTGCGTTATTCACATAGGATGTTCTGTTACCAGAAAATTCTTGAAATACTTGTAATTCCCAGTTGCCATCTTGCAAATTTTGTTTCCACCTGCTACTCTCAGCGAGGGTGTGTAGAATGCAGGGTTGTGCATTTGTAGCTCAGTGGTCGTGGGAGGCGGAGGTCGCTTTATCATTGGGGTAACATGTTACCGCACCTGGCTAAGGAAGTTTTTCATGATTTTATATATATATATATATATATATATATATATATATATATATATATATCCCGTCGCCGTTTTCGGCGTATGAGGATCTGCCAGCTTATTGATTCAGTTATGAAGTTTTATGCGCTAATCTTAAGTGGCATTTAAGAACCGCTAGTGATCTACAAAGGAGGCCGCATATGGAGCAAGTGTGAGGATTGTGAGATGAGATCACTGTTAGATTGGTTGACCTTTTAGATCATGCTCTCGCTTCTTAATGATAAGTCAGACGAGCAGATTGAAAATTGCTGAGTCCACTAAAACACGTTGAAAATCAATGTTAAGATAAAGAGTAATTAACTACAACCGAAAATAGATATTTTACAAGAAGAAAGAAGTAAAAGTCAGCCAAAGATAATTAACCATTACAGTGAATACCTTGTTAGTAGCGCGGCTACGTCCGATAAATTATAAATCAAAACACAAATCATCGGCGCACAATAATTCCCACTAATTCTACTGGATAGTTCCACTCAATAGTCATTCAGTAATCTCTGCAGTTAGTAGGGTGATACTGCCATTTATACACCTGGCGGAAAACGTATATTTATAAGTCCTGTGTGTCACGATCGAACCCCGGTGTCCGTATTTGCACATTTCATTCCTATACGACATATATATATATATATATATATATATATATATATATATATATATATATATATATATTCATTTCTTTCACACACACACACACACACACACACACACACACACACACACACACACACATATATATATATATTTGCAGGTTTCATAAAAAACGACAGACAAGGTACTACAGTTAAGCTTTTTATTTAATTTTTCTTGTATTCTAACAAGATCTTTCTTTTCTGGGCAAAGGGTGTGTAAAAACTCTCCAAATGTTTTATATTTCCGAGCGCTTTCGACTATAACTTTAGCCGTTATCAAGGATGATTCGATTTTTCAGCTTAATTGAGTGTGTGCATTATGAGTATGTCTTAGTGTGTGGTAGGGATGTTTTTAATTTCCGAATGCGGTTAGCACATTGTGGCTTTGTTCATAGTTAATATTGTTAAGAGTTGGCTTTTTCTTTTTCATTATTAAAGCTTCCATTTTTTTAGTGTTTTTTGCAGGTGGATGCAGTTAATATATTTGTGTTTTCTACTAGTATGTTCCTAATGGAGTCGGGTAAATTTGTGTGTGTGTTTAAATGGGTTCTAACGGAGCTGTGATCAGATAGGTGTAACGTAAGACATCTGGATAAGCATGTAGTTGTGTAACCGATGTAATTATTTATGAGTCCGGTTTGATCACAGTTCCTTAAGGGGCATTTGAACTCATAGATAATGTTCGTTCTTTGTAATTTTGACTTAGCTGGTGTGTTGTTAATTTTGAGGATAAATTTAGATGTCTTATATTTTTTATAATAGATAATTAATTATTTTTTTTAATTCGGGTCATTTGGAGTAGTATATTTGTTTATAATATGCCTTACAGAGGATTCATCTTGTTTGTAATTAATATGCATTTGGTTTTTGTAATAAATGTGTATGTGACTTTTGGCTTTGTGTTCACTATAGTTATTACTTACCTATATACTTACACATGCACACGCATATATATATATATATATATATATATATATATATATATATATATATATATATATATATGTCTCTACATACATACACATCAATATATACATACATACAGAAGTACACTTAATTAGAAATATACATACACCACATACCTGGACATATATGTATACGTATATACATATATTTTACACTCCTCCTCTGTTCTTCTCCTTTTATTCTTTTTTTACCTTTTTCTTTTTATAAAAAAAAAACAAAAGAAAAAAACCCTATATATATATATATATATATATATATATATATATATCCAACAGTAAAAACACACAAACACATACATCCCCACACATGCAGACACGAACAACACAGCTAATGTACACCAGTACACATTCACATCCACAGGGGGACCATCTGGTAATAATGTAATAATGTAATAAATATACAGTGACATATCGTTATCATTGAAATTATTACAACCCCTATAAGAAGTTAAAATTATAACGGTGCTTACAGTTAACGGTTAGTTCATATCTTTGATTTAAGAGATCATAAGATATTTTTAAATTTAATTATTTCAAAATTTTTCGTTAACACATAGATAACAAAGGGCATATAGGGAGTTTCATTTTCGCGCTCTTCTGATTAATTTCCATTTAACAGTAGGTGTTTTATTCTTTTCTTTTAGACTCCAAAAATACTTGGATAATGATGTCTTGTACTTATAATTACTGCTATTAAAATATTGCTTATGCCCTCGGCAACGTTCCTTGAATGGATTCCTGGTGCTACCAATGCAATATTTTTATATTTGGGTTTTCTAGTGTAGAGATTGTACAGAACTAGTCAAACAATTTTTCTGTAGTGGACAAATATTTGGATTCCTGCAATTGCATAAGTTGTTATTTGTGACATTATACTTAGTAGTACTGCTAGCAACCTTGTAAGTAGTCAGGTTATTTGAGTCCTTATACTTGTTAAAGACCCTGTTGTTATGTTTCTTAGTTATTTTCTCTAGGTTATCCAAGTAACTATAGTTTAATTTAAGGGTATTGCGATTGAAAACTTTACTAAATGGGTTAGTTTTTGGGTCGGGGAAATGTTTCTTGGTGATGGTTTAGAAATGTACGTCCTAATTTAGTTTTAACCACTATATTGAAAAGGGGGAGTAAACCAAATATTATTTCTAGATCTTCTTTTCTTATCATGGTTATAATTGACAGGGTTTCTATATCGAATAGTGGTACGCTTGTATCCACAATTTTTAAGGACAGAATTGTAAAAATCACGATGTTTATTAAAAACCTCTTTATTAGAAGAGTACGTACTAATCCTAAATCCAATGGAGGAGGGTATGTGCATGATAACCGGAGTGGGGGGTTGGGATTGGGATGCACATATACTGGGTTGAAATTAACCATCACATAAGGTTGGAAAGTGTTTTTCACATAACGCACACACTCAAGTAAGCTGAAAATCGAATCATCCTTGATAATGGCTACAGGTATAGTCGAAAGCACTCGGAAATATAAAACATTTTGACAGTTTTTACATACTCTTTGTCCAGAAAAGAAAGCTCTTGTTCGAACACAAGAAGAATTAAATAAAAAAGCTTACCCGTAGTACCTTTTCTGTTGTTTTTAATGAAACATGCATAAACGAAGGTTTGCTGCCTAAATATACAACTATCAAATATATATATATATATATATATATATATATATATATATATATATATATATATATGATCGAGTTACATGTATATACATCCATATATAAATATAATGACTTATACTTCAGTTGTTTCTATACATATATATGTACTAGCATATATATATATATATATATATATATATATATATATATATATATATATATATATATATATATGTGTGTGTTTTGTGCCTGTGTTTGTGTTTGTGTTTGTTAATCGATCACAATTCTTGACGTTTGAAAAAGGAGTATTCTAACGGCAGTACCACAATATATTACTTTTGTTGTCATGAATATTAGAATTAATTATGCAAAATCGAAATAGGAATAACGTCTATGTGTCATAGAACAACGCTCATTCATTGCAATATAATTCTGCGTGCATTTCCATATGCCCTTCATTTTTGCTGATTTAAGAATAGATAATTATAATATTATCAATTATGACACGCCAATTGCTTTATACGATTGC